AGGGTTTTGGGCCACTATATAGTACCCCTAAACCCTAAACCCTAAACCCTAAACCCTAAACCCCTAAACCCCTAAACCCTAAACCCTAAACCCTAAACCCTAAACCCTAAACCCTAAACCCTAATAATAAGGAGCCATAATTATTTAGGCTTCTATCTCCTTTGCTTCTGCCTTCACGGCTCTGAGGCCGAGGTCCTAGGTCATCGTAGCAGTCGTCTCCCGGGTCCTTTAAACTTTAAGCTTTAGGGTTTAGGGTTTAGGGTTTAGGGTCCCTAAATCTGTTGTTCGGACGGTGGAGCTTCGAAGCTCCGCAAAGGTCTCAGCGCTCGAAACTCCTGATACTAAGCACCGCGGTCGTTGGATTGATGATAACACGCAAGAGTTGGGCAACCATGTTACATTCGCCCTTAGAGAAATCCGAAGTTTAGACAGCCACGAAGATTCCCTGCATCCTGACCATTCTTAGCTTGAACAATTAGCAAACGTATCCTGCTTGCCTATTATATACGTGGCTTCAGCAGAACCGATCATCACAATAGTCTAGTTGGACTCGCGCGGCCCTTCGCTGGTAGAGCCTCATCATGGAAAGCCTTTAGAGATTTAGAGAACCCTGCAAGGAAGCCTTCAAACAACCTCCGTCTTCTTCGCCCCAATCTATAATCATCACGGTCCCTATATAAGAACTCAGGTGGGTTCGGCAGAAGCAGATCCTTACACTGAGACCATGGAATCGGTGGAGGCGACTGTCGACTTAGGCTTTGGTTTAGGGTTTAGGGTTTAGGGTTGGAAGCCTCAGACCTATCCAGGACTAGAACGCCCAAATACAGCGACAAGAATACAAGTACAGTGACAAGCAAAGCAAGCATGATTTTATATAGACTTGGTCTAATATGCGGTTCACGGTGTGGGGTGGAAAGCCCTAAATACAGACCACAAATACCCTAAATACTAGACCCTAAACCCTAAATACTGAGCCCTACCCCTAAACTAAACCCCAAACCCTAAACCCAAACCCCTCAACCCTAAACCCTGACCCCTAAACCCTAAACCCTGACTTCTAAACTGAACCATGAAACCAATGAGGTCTAGCCTGGGGTTTGGTGTTTGGGGCCTAGGGGAGCCCAGGAGGTCGGTCAAGAGGAGCCAGATTTCCCCTAAGACGATTTAGGGTTTAGGGTGTAGGGGGTTTAGGGTGTAGGGGGTTTAGGATTTAGGGTGTAGGGGTTTAGGGTGTAGGGGTTTAGGGTGTAGGCGGTTTAGGGTTTAGGATTTAGGGTTTAGGGTGTAGGGGTTTAGGGTGTAGGGGTTTAGGGTGTAGGGGGTTTAGGGCTTAGGGTTTAGGGTGTAGGGGTTTAGGGTGTAGGGGGTTTAGGGTTTAAGGTTTAGGATTTAGGGTTTAGGGTGTAGGGTTTGGGGTCTTGGGGTCTTTGAGGACAGATTGAAAGCCTGAGAGAGTTTGGGAGTTGGGGGCTTTGGGGTTAGGGTGCTTAATGTAGGGCCCTAACAATTAGAATAGGGTTTTGCGGGATCCTTATTATAATTATAGTATAAAGACCCACAAACCCTATTCTAATTTAGTAAGGACCCAAAATTAGAGTTGAGGGATAGTATGCCTCCCGACCACGCAGCTTTCCGACATGCATGAAATGAAGCAGCATACCGAAACCCTAAACCCATAAACCCTAAACTCTGTAGGGCTTCGGGCTTTACGACTTCAGGGTTTTGTCAATCTGCATTTAGGGGTATCTAAGCTGAGCAGCAGCGGTACACAGCGGTATAAAGCCGGAAGCGACGCAACCAGGTAATATAGAAGCCTCACTAATTTTCTACAGGGTCTCTTATGATATTCATGCCATAAGCTGTCGCGGGGATTGAAAGGCAGGATGAGCTAGGCGGGCTGGAGAAGCTGTGGCTGTGACGGTCATTGACCCCGCACCCTTGGAAGCTCGGGTTGAACCGCGAAGGTTTTTGGGCAGGGCAGGTAGAGCGAGCATGGAGGTCATTCGCAAATGGAAAAGCAGAGGTCATCTTCGCTGCTGAAGGAGACTCCCAAGCAGTGGCGCACGGTTACTTCTGCATCTGGTGACCTGGTGCAGATCTCGAGCACTGGAGAAGGCTACTTTAGCAGTTAGGCTAGGAAACACAACGAGGTCAGAATCCACTGGAAGGATATCCAGTCGTAGCTGCATTGATATAATGATATAGGTGCCTTAATAATCAGAACAGGGTTGGGGGGGTATATTATATATGATGCCGTAACTATAAGAAGGAACCCCCGAAACCCTGTTCGAATTCTTAAGGCCCCTACATTATAGCTTCAGAGGGACTTGCTCAACTCCAAGATCGCAAAGCGAAGTCTGGAAGGAAGTACACCATCGTGAACGCTTCAGTTGAAGACGAGATGACCGATGCTGAAGAGACGCTAGAAGTCCTTATGAGTCAGAGGGCACCGGCAGAAATTGTGGACACTAGGGGTTTCTTCAGGGTCGGAGGAGCACACAAAAATGGTTCGATGGAGCAAAACAAGAGGTTGACACACTGCTTCATCTGCTGCTTTCAGGCGCCATGCTCGGACAGCTGCCCTTATCCCTAGGCCCCTATAGGGTTTAGTCCTGCTTCCCCCTTTGTAGCGCTGCGACCCGTGTTCTAGTCGGCACCCCTTTTTCCCCCCTCTTCCCTGCTCCTGACCGCCTTCGGGATTTAGGTTGTTGCAGTCAACCACATCATCACACTGCTTCATCAGCGAGTGTGGAAGGAAATCCCCGATAACGAGAAGAACGTCTGAACGCAACTTTCTCGTATGTACGAACTTGTGTTTGAGATTCCGTGCCTACATCCCACCTTTTGAGACCTTCGATGCAGCTATGCTACCTAGGACACTCCACCAATAGGAACGAATTACCAGTCTCCTGATACGCTACATTCACCTACGCATAATTAAAGACCTCAATGGGCCTGTATAATTAATTAGAATAGGGTTTTGGTGTATACTATACTATAATTACAATAAGGAGCCCCCCCAATTACGCTATATGTCATCCTGGGCTCAAAAGCCTGTAACCCTAAACCTGACAGCAACCCGTCTGGCAACCCTTTTAGAAAGCCTCCCGGAAACCCTAACCCTAAACCCCTAAACCCCTAAACCACTACATGCTAAACCCCCAAAACCCCTGTATAGAACCCCTATATATCCCTTACAGGAGCCCTATTTTGCTTTTAAAGGAACCCTGAACTATAGCGCTTCTTGGGACAGGTGGAGAAGGAAGACCGATCTTCACGTGCGCGTGTGGAAGCGGTTCAGCTCGGGATCAACAGCTTCCGGCAGCCGGGAAGCCTGGAGGGTGTAGGGCTCTTGTAAGGGTTTAGGGATGAAGGTTGAGGTTTCGGCTAAGGGTTTAGGGTTCCTTGACGGGTTTATGGTTTAGGGTTTAGGGTTCTTTTCAGGGCTTGGGGTTAAGGGTTCTGTTGAGAAGGTGTTCTACAAAGGTTACTGAAAGAGTTGCCATGATCAAGGGTGAGGTTAGTGTGAGGCTTTAAGGAGCTTACTATGAGGCTCACCCTTAATATGAGGGTTAAGCTAAGGGGGTCAGGGCTTTAGGCTTCCTTTGAGGAGGTTACTATGAGGGTTGCTATACAGGTTAGTGTAAGGGATACGATAAGGGGGTTACGATGACTGTTGCTATACGGGTTCAGGGCTTGGGTAGAGGGTTTAAGGTTTGGGTTTTTTTATGGAGTCGTAAATCTCTCTTTTTGGTGAAACCCTAAACCCCAAGGGTACCATTTAAGAGCTTTGTTTAAAAGAAGTTCCTTCAAGGGTTCCGTTTCGAGGAGTTGCTCTAAGGCATCTTTGGGGGGTTTCTGTACGGATTTTGTAGAGTCTTAGAGGTTGCGGCTTTAAGACTTATGGCTTAGGATCGCCTTTGTAAACCATGGCACTGAAACTTGAACTGTCTCGAACTCATAATCGGCGTAGTCATGATGCCCGACGGGGCAGTGGTAAGCTGTGCTATCTTCAGAGAACGTTCGCTTAAACCCGAATCCCTACATGCTCAGCGGTACGCCCCAGCCCTACACCCAAGGCACTTAGAAATCTCTGATTGGCAGATACTAAGCATGTCGAAATAAATATGCCGTAAATATGCATGAACACTAAAACTATTGGGGAGGAAAATGCAGCGCTTCAGGTGTGAAGAGGCGTAGCTTTAAGGATGCAGGGCTTAAGGTCTAGGGTAGGGGGTGTCGCAGTCTTGAAGTGTTCTTTCGAAGCACGCCCTTGGTGGCTACTTGCCACTTCGGGCTTTTCCACAGCGTGCAAGCAGGAAAAAAAAACACTTCTTGTAAATCGCAAATGCTAAGAAAGCCTTAAGCGTGGGGGTTAAGCCAAAACCGCTAACACCCAGGGTCCTCCGAGAATCCTAAGCCAGAAACCCTAAGCCCAACACCCCTAACTATGTAGCCTCTGACTTGTTGGCAATGCCACTCGGTCTTAGCTGGCAACTTTGATATAGTGAGGGAGAGGGGGGAGGAGGGAGGGAGGGAGGGAGGGAGGGAGGCAGGGAGGGGTAACTTGCCAAAAGCTCTTTGTTCGAGAAGCGTGCTTGGGGCATATATGATGCAGGGCTGCCACACCCCCCCCCCCC